TACAGATCCTTTTGTGCATCCTTAAGAACATGAAATCACGGCTGTTGAAAACTTCAGCTAGAGAACTAATTAATTTTTAAGTGGGCTGTTAATTTCTCCTCAATGCTTCAACTTGCATTAACGCTAATTTCCATCTAATTTCCCCCCGATTCTTCCAGCCTCTCATACCATGAGATTTTACTCACGCTTTAGTCCCTAGTTACCAAGGGTAAAATAGATTTTCCACTGGAAAATAATGAAATACATTTTAGTACATTTTTACAAGTTGTTAGAATAATTCAGAGCAAAATAACCAAAGACTAATGTAATTCATATAATGGGTATATACAGAGACTAATATGTAGCTTCACTCTAACTTCAGATTAATCTTGACTGAGTTGGAACCTGTCTTATTTTATTGTATACACATATGTTTTCTCTATACTATTAATCAACTAAACAGTCTGTTTCTTTCCTCAATTTAAATATATACACTTAAGAGAAAATTAAATGAGAAATAACTTATCAGAATGCACTTACCCCCTATTTTATAGGATTCTCCTCCAGAGGGTTTAAGAAGTTCCAGAGCATTTTGAACTAAGAGCTCAGAAAAAGCTTATATAAATTCCTGCCTTGTAACCCAGTCAACTCAATAGTTTTTGCTGATAGATCTATTTTCAGTTCATCCCCTTTTCAGCAGAGAGTGTAAAGAGAGTTGTGCAACAAGTACATGAGATAAATAAACCTAAAATCTGGCAGAATGACATCACAGAGAAATGTTTCAGAAATGTATCACCTGCTGAGGTTTCCCTAAAAGAGCAGAAAACAGCCAATTAAGCAGAAATCTAATCACACTTGAATGTAACTAGAAAGCTAAGTGCAACTCAATACGAAAGAAACCCAGATGAAGTAGCCCAAAATACTGAAGGTTAATAAAACAACAATATGTTTTACATAGATTCAGTGACTCATCGAGCTAATTAATCATATAATTATTATTTTCTGACAATTTTTTGATTCACAAATATTTTTTTCAAGCACTTTAGTGTTTGCTAGTAGCTTTGATGGGTCGGTTTGTTTGGTTTTTTGGGTTTTATTTTATCATCATATATAGTTACAATGAGCTACCTGACATGAAAGTATTTCTGGTATGATTTCTCTCACAGAAAAAATGTTACTAACTCCTCATCTCAACTTGAAGTGACAGTGCTGCTACCAGCTATGGTTTGAGACTCAGTTAAATGTTATTCTTTGTTCCCTTCAGGAAGGTCAAATGACTTGGGTTGGTAGCAGCAGGTAGAGTTTACCTCTCCACATATTGTCCAACATGTCTCTGTGCAAGTCTGAAATACAGCTGAAAACTTTAATGAAAGAAATGAGAAAATTTTAACTATGTTATGTGTCACAGAGATAATATATCATAATTTCTCTACCAGTGACATCTTAAAGCACATCAATACATCCTTCCGTGGTTACAGCTTAGCCTATGATTACATTTCAGTGATGGATAATCCATCTCTCTGGGAGAGAAAAACAGGCAAAACCAAGAAATTATCTGTCTCACAATGATCTCAATTTATATTCTAGAAATCTTTGGGAGAAGCAGAGGAAGAAAATCTTCCTGATTGTTTCTCCAAGAGATCCTATTTTCCTGTTTTGCCTAAAATTGATTTTTAGAATGAAACCTATTGACTAATGAGGCAAACCAGGCAAAGGTGGGCAAGACTTCTGTATCTTTTTCCTCCTATTATATGGGTGAGAGAAAAGTAGGACAAGGACCAAATTATTTCATTATTATTGAGCTTAATGGACGTTAAAAGGCCATAGATCAACCTCATGAATTATTATGGCTGAATCTAGGCAGATTATTTACATAATTTACTGATAAGTTTATTAGTGTATGTACTGAGATCTATTTTATTGCTTCTCAAGATGCATTAACTTCACTGTAACAGTTTTCATGCTCAAGTCCTGTCCAATATGATAAATACCAATTAGTATGACAGAAATCCTTTGTGAGAGAATGACAAAATCTCTGCAATTAAAGTAGTTCCACAAAATATGAAACTGCTTTTCTTTCCCTTTGTTTTTTCCTGTACAAATTCTAGTAAGGGATCAAATATACTTGGAGAATTCTATTATTATATAATGTAACAATGTACTTTGGAATACCTATATTCTACTTAGAACTTCACATAGCAAATACATAGCCTTCTTCCTGACCATCTCTTCATTATTTCACTCGCTTCTCCTCCCTCCTGCTCCTAATAGGAATCTTCTGATTATATGAAAGTGATGTGTACTTTGTTTTCCCATGGTTAGAGAATCTGAGTTAATGGAAAATCCCCCAGAGCCTTTTCTCCTTCAGTTACAGGGATCAGTCAATATGGTTTCTTTAGGGAAAGGATAATTACTCGCATTTCTACTTCTCAAGACTTTATTAAAATAAATCTATTTATATCACTCTCCAGAGAGTTTGCGAGTTGACAACTGTATTGTTAAGGGCAGATTATTTTATGAGTCCATCCCACAACATAGGAATTCTTTAAACATCTTTTCCACAATGAGGCCGAGGAACTGAAATAGAATATTCAGGAAAGAGATGTGAAAGGGCACAGGCAGCTGACTTTGCTTCCACTGCCAAAGCCTAGACAACCTGAATTCTGACATCTGTTCATGTCACAGGAGAAAGCTGGAACACAAAACCTGAACTACAGTCAAATGAGTCCTCTACAGAAGTAAGTTTTTCATGCAGAACGTGAAAAAAGTTCATTGGAAAAAAGAATTTCACGTTAAGTTGAAATACGCATAAAGCTCACTGACACAGTAGGTTAGATGCTAGAACTAAAACAAGAATAATATTAACTATAGAAGTACATTTTTGCACAAGGAAGACAGTACATGAAACACATTTAAGAATACACACAAATTCTAATTGTTAATCTTTGTTTTAAAATTTCAAAAAATGTAAGTATGACCTTTTAGAAAAACCTTCCAAAACCATCAGTTTGAGCATCGGTTAACAAGCAGACAGTGCATACATATCCTACAGCACAACTGCTAGTTGCAGTATGTTCTTCCCCTGTAGTTGGCTTGTAACCTAGGCACAACCCCTGCCACTGCTCCCCAACACAACATTAACAGTACTAAAATGGACAGAGTTGTTTTATACTAAATAAAACAGCATAAAAAGCTTTTATTATAATTTCTACATTGAGCCAGTATTTTTTTCTCTGGGAAAACTGAAATACCACTTAGGACTTCTTTTAGGTAAGTAGTAAGCTCTTGAGAGCAGAACAATCATTTTTCCAAGTTACAGAACATGCATCATATTGAAGAGGTGAATGCTAGGCTATGTAGCTGCTGCCATACTTAAGGTTTTGACTTCTATGATCATGGACCTACTGATGAGAAGTCAGGTTTGCTGGAAGCTGAAGGGATTCACCTGACCAAGTCGGGCAAGAGCCTCTTTGTCAACAAGCTGGCCAGAACTGTAAGCAGGGCTTTATTCTAGACTCAGTGGTAAAAGAGGATGGAGATCTGAACAACACAGAAGAGCCAGAGGCTGCTGCTGCATTAGGAACCAACAGGGAAACACCCGAGAAATGTTGCAAAGGAATTAGGGCTTGTTCCTCTAAAAAGGTGACATGATCAGCAGCCCAGCTGAAGTGCCTCTACACCAATGCACACAGCATGGATGACAAACAGGAGTTGTAAGCCACCGTGCAGCTAGAAAGCTGTGATCTAATTGATATCACTGAAACTTGGGGGCATAAATCACATACCTGAAACACTGCAATCAATGGCTATCAGCTGTTCAGGAGGGACAGGCAAGGAAGAGAGAGAGGGATTTCCTCTATATATAAAAAAGTGGATTGACTGCACAGAGCTGTGCCTGAAAAGCTGTGATGTGTGTGAGAGCTTGTGGCCAAAAAACTGGAGGTCAAGCCAACAAAGGAAACCTCATGATTGGTGTTTACTACAGGTCACCTGATGAAGAGTATGCTGGTGAAACCTTCTTACTTCAACCACAGGAAGAAGCATCACGCTCATAGGCTCTGATCCTCCTGCGGGACTTCCATCACCCTGAAACAATGTGTCTTCACTTTTATTTACTATATAAGACTCCATTGAAGTCTACTGACTTCTTAGTTTTTAAACATCGTTTCTCCCCACATCGTTTGTTAGTTCAAAAATGTACAGAAAGATGTGAGTTTCTATAAACACTGTTACTGTTATTTCAAGCTCTGCTATAGAGTCTTTTTTAGATTAAGGTTTCTCAAAAAAGAAGTTACAATCTTTTGACATTATCTTTAAGAACAAAAATACAGAAATTGACTTTTACCAAGTATTTCAGGTTGTGCATCAACACTATTATCCTCAATATATTTTTAGATTTTTGAGCCATCATCACCACATAGCTGCACTTCCTTATCACTTTCCTGATTTGTATATTCTAGAGATAGTCTCGGAAACTGAGAAAGTTGAGATTTTGTAAACCTCTTTAAGTGTTATGAAATATAGCCTATGAAGTATAGAATGGATCAAAAGCAACTCTTCTTTCTTCTGATTTGCAGCAATTCTTTCACATTTGCTCTATGGTATTTTCTTAGTACTCCACTTCCAGAGGATTGTTTTTAACTCGTGCCTGCTCTTCCAAACCTTCCCCTTTCAACACTCCTTCCTCCATTATTTCTGCAGAAAAACATTTTGATTATATAAAGAGTATCTACTTTCCTAATGCACATAAGAACCCCAGAAGAGGAATAAAAAAATAGTGTTGAAGTTGTTAATCCAAAACTTAAACAACAATAAAGAAAAAAACTAAAACAAGAACTCTATAGTTGCTTTCTTTGAAGTCACTAGCAGAACGTGGACTGATACCATATCAAATACAGTCATGCCACAAAAATGCTAAAATAAAGCTTTAGAACACAGCAGTATTCAATTGACTCAGCATTACTCAAATTAGTTTGCTTCATGTATAATACACCCACTTTTCTTCTGAAGACACACCTCACCTTTGCTTCCATACTGTTCTAGTGGCAGGTCATAAGGTACAGGAAAATATGTTGCTGAATCTTTCCTTTCTGGAAGCTTTCTTCCTCCTACATGAAAGTAACCTTTGTCCAGTCCCTATAAAGGTAGGGAAACATACAGAAGACAGACATATTAGTTTATGGGGAAAAGACAAACCTAAACCAGAATAGACGCTTTCTCAATAAATTATTTTAATAAACAAAATGTTTTGCCTCCATTACTGAGATTAGATACTTCCTGAAGCACCTTCCTGTCTTCATCTTCCCTTACTTCTACTATTTCAGGCTCTTCTCTAGTACATTCATTGGCTTGGCCTCACACATGGATATACTCTGTCTTCTCAGACCATTACACATATACCAATTTCGATATTCACTAGGTGAGCACCTTTGGTGTTTAATAGTTAACTAAAGCAAAAAGCTTTAAGAATTCTCTTTGCTGCTTAGTTTCACCCTGATCACATTAGTTAGTTAATCAGTGTGTTTCATGAACTGCACTAGAATTCACCCTTTATTATAGAAACAAGTCTTCAAATCTGTGCTTTTCAGATATCTTGGGTAACATCATCCCTAGACTCTCAAAAATTTAATGAAGATTTGAAACTGCTTGCATAAAAGCTCCAAAGAATACACTCAGAATGACAGCATTACTGTCAAACAAGTTTAAGGACGATAAAAAGAAAAAAAGGCTATAATGCAATACAAGGGAAGAGAGATTTAAAGTGATTCAAGTAACTTGGGCAGACATTATTGCTTAGCCACTTCTGCAGAAAAGTTGGATCCCATTCATCAACTGTAGCGAGTTATACAAATGCAAGTCTGAGATTTCAAATAGCCTATTGTTAATCAAGTACAAACTGATTAGAACAGAAGTTTAAAGGCTATCAAGTTTTTATTATTTATTTTTAAGATATAACTAACAGCTATATTTTTCTTTCTAAAATCATAGAATAGTTTGGGTTGGAAGGGACCTTCAAAGGTCATCTGAGTCCATCCCTCTGCACTGAGCAGGGACATCTTTCACTAGACCAGCTTGCTCAGAGCACCATCTAACCTGACCTTGAACATTCCCTGGGATGGGGCATCTACCACCTCTCGGGGAAACCTATGCCAGTGTTTCACCATACTCAATTTCTTCTTTGTATCTTGTCTAAATCTACCCTCTTTTAGTTTAAAATCATTACCCCTTGTCCTGTCCCTACAGGTCCTATTAAAAGTCTGTCCCCACTTTTCCTACAAGCCCTCTTCAGGTACTAAAGGCTGCAATAAGATTTCCTTGGAGCCTTCTCTTCTTCAGGTTGAACAATCCCAGCTCTCTCAGCCTTTTCTCATAGGAGAGGTGCTCCACCTCTCTGACTATTTCTGTGGCCCTCCTCTGGATCCACTCCAACAGGTCTTTCCTGTGCTGAGGGTCCCAGATCTGGTTGCAGTACTTCAGGTGGGATCCTCAAGACCAGAGTAGAGGGGCAGAATCCCCTCCCTCGACCTGCTGTCCATGCTGTTTTTGATGCAGCCCAGGATAGAGCTGGCTTTCTGGGCTGCGAGCATACCTTGCCAGGTCATGTCCAAATATTAACTCACACTTTACCCAAGCTCCATGGTCCATCACTCCGAGTTTTACTGCATTACTGTTTTGTGATAGCACAAGGAAGTATCTTAATTACCACTAAAAAATCCCATTGTATTCAAACATACATGCTGGCTGAATTGAGATTCCTGTCTATATACAATACCGCAAGTTTTTCTTCACTGAAGAATTACATCATCAAACGTTATCATTTTAAGTTGGAGAAACCAACATTCACAAGACCACACAAAGCATGGGAATGAATGCAGCTTTATACTTTTTTCTTTAATTTTCAAGAAGCATAGTAACAGAGAAAAAGGAGAGCTGTCAAAGACAATGTCAAGCTGTATTACAGCAGTTCTAGCAAGTCAGTTCAAGAATCTGCTTTAGAATATAGATGTTTCTTCACAAACTATGTAGCATGTGTTCACTCTAAAGTTCATAGAAGTGTTTTCACACAACATGAAAGGAAAAAAGCACTAATTGTAGGACATTTTGCATTTTTTTACCTGTTATACATCCTTTTTTTCAATCTAGAAATAATTTTTGTTTCTGCTTAGTTTCTTCTACACTCCATGCCTTGTTATTACTTCAGCATCTTTCTTTTCAAGCATTTTGTTTTCTTCTCTTGTTCCACACTTTGCTGTCCTCTGCCTGTTCTTCCTCAGTAGTCAGCAGTTATATTTTCCTCTCCTCTGAAAGCCTTATTTCTTCTCTGATGCTATCCTCCAATGCTGCTTGACTTCATCAGTTGATCCCTAAATTGTTTTATTTGTCTGCCAAAATTTAACCTATAGAGACCTTCCATTAAGGAAATACTAATCTAAGAAAAGATATTTAGTTTTCCTCAAAACACCCTGGAGTAAGAGTCTAGTTTATGGAATACATTCTTTACCAAGGCTCTCTGAGGAGATTCACATGCTTTTAAAAATAACTCATGTGTCTGTCTTCACACAGAAATTGAACTAATTCACACACTTTGTCTGTTTTGAGCATTTCCTGAATGTTGACAGCTCTCACTGCTGTTTCCAAAAAACAAGCAGCAGGATCTTGCCTAAAATAATTCTGCCTGCCTTGTAGGTTTTCCTCAGCCATATTCTATTCTTTCAGAATTTTTCCCTCCGTGGCTTTATTTTGCTTTGCAACTGATGCTCAAAGAATATATTTTGAAATGTTAATATTTCCCAACATTTCCTGGTTGGGAAACTAGAGACATCAAAGAAGAAAGGGGTACTACATTACCTTGGAAGCTAATGTCATAGTCAAAGAGCTTAACCTACTTAATTTTGGTTGAGCTATGATTGAAGGTGCCTGGTTCAGTTATGTGAACTCAACAAAAATTCAAGCAGTTCAGTTCTGATGATCTCACTGACCATGCCTGGCTGCTCTCTAATCCAGACTCAGTTCATACGCCCAGCTCCACAGTCAACTATAATTATCACAGTCAACTCATTACCAGTGAGTACTTACCATCAAATACAGCATTTCAGAATCTGAAATACTGTTGTTAGTTGTCTGGGATTGATTATCTAAATGTAATTGTAGCATTTGATAGCCCTTGGTAAGCAATAATGGGTAGGTTTTCAGTTTTTTTCTGAGCTTATATTTCAAAAACTGAGTGGCTAGTACCATATTCAACAAATCTTTAAAAAGATTTAAGTATTCCACCAACTTTTATATTCAAGCTCAGTTTACCTTACAATCCTATCAGACACAGAAGCTATGAGGAGGAACTATTTACTTAAAAAGTTTTCCATTAGTCACTTTCAAGATTTTTCAAACAAAGTAGTTACTAGAACATGCTTCCCAGAACTCTACACTTTTAGATGATGGCATTCTCTCAACATGTTTTACCTGTCAAAGATGTACTTTATTTCAGCCTCTGGAAAGGAATCCCCCAGCAGCTGAAACAGCAAGTTGAAAAAGAGAGGGAGTGTAGACGTAGGAAGTACAAAATAGAAATGGAGATAGAAAGGAAAATGTAGTTCAAACACAGGACATGAATTCTATAAACAGTTTTTGATCAATAGAAGCTTGTGATCCAATGTCAGCATCAGCTGATTTTTCCCTAAACACTAGAATTGTAAATGATAACAGCTGTTGCTATGTTAAGAACAACCATTCAGCATATTTCTGAGAGTCTGTATTAGCACACCAGGCCAAAACACAACCTCAAAGCATAATTTTGGAAGCATCTTAAAAAAAAAGACAAAAACTGGCAGTCAACTGATAGCAGGTGAGGAATGATCCACTTCCAAATTTGTATTCAGCAGAAAATAGAAGGCACAAGCCAGAATGCTAGAGGAGTTCTTAAGATGAGTAATATTAAGTGTGTGCTACACAAGTACACCAGGGTAGCGTGGCCAAACAGGCCAAGGTGCAGGATTAAGGCTCCACTCTATTCTGGGACACAGGTTCAATTCCCATCACTGCCAGGGATATTTTAATGGTTGGACTCTATGATCTTAAAGGACTTTTTCCAACCTAAGTGATTCTGTGATTCTACAATGCTAAGTCTGAACTTCTACCAGAATAAGTGTCATTAACTTTAAGATAAAACAACTTGAAGAAACAGAACTATCAGAAATTGGCAGTGTTAAATCAGCATTCCAATAGCTAGAGCATGGTGAGTCTCTCAAGGCCTAGGAATGCTCAGTTATTATTCAAAGCATTTCATCTAGTTTGTATTTTGTATAACTTTAGTTGCAAACAAACTTTTCTGTTTCTAAAAATTTTAGTCTATTCCTAGTTCTGTTATCTTCACCTAAGACTACTCTGCCACACAGTATGCTAAAACCACAGTGAACCAGTGTGACAACCAGACCAAGTCATCGAAGAAGCACTTTTTATTCAGAGTTAACTGCGGGGCATATACATCGGACAGATTTGCAAGCTAAGCAGTGCAACTTGAATATCAGATAGCTGCATGTACATCAGACAAGTATTTGTATTTGTCTCTCTGATTACCTCCTTGTGTGTCTCTGCAGGCACTTCTCAATGAAGAAAGGAAATCAGCTGCAGTCTCCCTCCCTGTTTTGCTCCCAAACGCACCATACAATGTGACTACTGACAGGTGACAACTTCTCTTCTGGCTGCCAGTCTTTACAATTAAGTATCAATATGTAGGAAACTGAGATGAAAAGAATTAACTATTCTTTTCCAAAGTATGTACTGTTATTCTGAGGTCTGAGATTCAAACATAAGACTACCTCATGCACACTTGCAGACTTTACTAGTTACCTGCATAGGAGCTTTCTATAATTCACAAAAACAAAAATTGTGAGGGCTGTAGAGAGAAACCATTATACTTCCACAATGCATCTTTATATTGCATACATTTTAATTAATTTATTGGACAACAAGTTAAACCTTCTCATGATGTGCAATATATCAGAGTGATGTCACACTTCTGTCAATTCTGCATGAACAACTCTCTCGTTCACTTGCTGAAAAACCATCAGAAGCTAACTAATTACACATCACTTTGCCAGAAAAACAGCAGGCCAACAGACCTAGTGAAGAGAACCTTGAGAACAGATTTATACCTGCATCTGTTTCTCCATAATTATATTTCCATCTTAAGTGCAACCTTTGTCCCTCCACTCAGTACCCTTCTAACCAAAGTGATACAGAGGAAAAAAATAGAGAAAAGCAGTAAAAATGATCAAATCATCTCCACCCTAAGAACAGCTAAGCAGGCTAACAACCTTTTAGTCTAGAAACAGATAAAGGTCTATGGAAAGAGAGGCATGGAAAAGGTGATTAGGGATCACACAGTTATTGTCTCTTTCAATGCAGGAAAAGAAAACCATCAAATGAGCAATTTTCAGAACACTGCTTCATGTGACATTGTTAAGTTGTGGAACTCGGCCAGAATAGACTGTGAATGCTAAAAGCTTACAGAGTTCTAAGAGAAGACAGAAGATGCTCACAGACAGAAGTCAAGAAATCTTCAGGGATAAACTACTACATACATGCCTGTACTACATACATACTTTTCCACAAGCAGTATCTGCTTTTGATCGCAAAGTTTTGAGATGTTCCTTTGATATGATAAAGTGTGACAAAAAGGGAGAGATCTGGGGGCTTGGCTTCACCATTTACAGAGCACAATACATCCTCATCCAGATCCTAGCCATTTATGCATATTTTCCACCCAAAACTTCACTGACCAGCCTTCTCCCTAGGCATGGTTCCAAAACCAGGCCAAAAGAAGGCTATCTCAATATGATCCCATGTTCACCTTCCTGCACTCTGCCCCCTTGAACTTGCCTTTCCTACTTCTCCCTTACATTAGCACTCATCTGATCATGTTGAGCTGGTTCACGGAAACTTGTGCAATTTGGTTTTGGCCAGTCTGAGCTGGTTTAAAGCACAAGGTGTCCACTAAGCACTGATGCCAGTACAATTAAGAGAGTGAAGACAGCCATGGACAGGCTACTCTCGTGGTAGGGTCAAATGTAGTTTCACATGTTAAGGTAATCTATTGCTTTGACATGTTTGAGATGCCAGATTCCAACCTACCTTATCAGGCGGTTAATTATCTAATACACTTATCTGCTGAGTCAGAGAAGTAGAGCAACTTACTTGTCACCAAAACATGATCTTGAGTTGCAGCAAAGCTTCACCATATATTATTCTCTCCAGGCTGAGAGCCTAAGCCTGTAGCAGTTGTAGGTTTTAGGAAGAAAGGCCTTGAACAAACAAAAATGATTATCACAACCGCAAGAGTGTCAGCATCCTTTCTGCAAATCTGAACTCACCCTACAACTAACTCGGTGAGATCAAGATCTTGGCCAGGTTTGTGAAAATAACTTTTATTGTTGTTTTGATCCACTGTATGTACAGAAATTGGATTAATTATATTAACTTAATAATAAGTAACTAACTGCTTCAATGTTTTATTTTTCTGTTATTACTAGTTGTTTATGCAAGCGATGTTTGCTTTTTTTAGAGCTCAGAGATATAAAACCCAATGCTTCCTACTATAAGAAGCTATAGGATTTTGCTTGTTTCACTCTGATAAACACATTTTCTCTAAAAGTTCTCTTCCACATAAACCATTCTGGAAAATAATGTCTCTAAGGTTCACAATATCAGAAACCTCAGTACTATGCGAACTCATCATAAATGTCAAGAGTGAGATAAAGGAGTTCTTTAGCTGTAGTCAGAAACTATCAATCTTAATATTGCAATCTTAGGAGATTACAATTATCCAGTTACAGTAGGCAAACATTTTTACAATATCATAACATTAGTAAATATTCATTTGGGAGTACACTACTAATCAGCAGAAATGACAGAACATTACGTGATCATCTGTGAACATTATCTAGGAAAGATACATTCTTCATCAGAAAAATATTTCTAAGAACTTTTAGCAAACAAACGCTCTTTCAGAGAAACTTGCAATCTTTTCTCTGGGAAAGAAGAAATTTCACACAGGAAGGAGTTTGAGTGGTTTCTGATCACAGATTAACTGTTGATGATAACATGTTGGTACTAACAGGTTCACCAGACAGAAGGAGGAATCAGCCACAGGAAGCAAAATCTCACATCTCACTATCAGGTAGTAGATCTAAGTAAGACAAAACTCAACCTAAGCATAAAAGGGAAGCTTTTTATCTTAAATATAATGTACAACTAACTTACAGGACCCATTACCACAGGACTCTGTGGAGGACTAAAAAACAGCAAGTATAGTTCAATAAGGAACCTGATGTTTTAAGAGACAGTCACATGACTTTGCAAATGCATTTCAGGAACGAGCAAGAACAGCAATCAGTGCAACATTAGGAATAGTTTTTCAAGTCACGACCTCACTTCAGTGTGAATATGCACGCACAGCCTATTTTAAAAAAGTATGAAAAAGGTCTGATCATCCTTTCCAGCAACATTTAGGGTATATGTTACAATCTAAAAACATTATTGCCTTTCAGTAGCATGACAAAAGTCACAGCAACACCAAATCCATATCTGCTGTGTAGAAAAACAGTCTATAAATACCTCATATAAACTCCATTTCCTATTAGCTTTCTAACCTAGAAACACAGAACCCACCGATAAGATTACTCAGTCATGCTTGTATTCATAAATATTTGCAGATTTTTGTCATATTCCAGGATTTGTACTTGAACTATGAACTTACAAATGCTGAAGGCAAGAAAAGAACTCCAAGTTCATAAGAACGGATCATCAATTGGCTGCCATTTTTCTCCAGAGCTCCCCAAGCTGCTTTAGATAGATTGGCACTATGAAGAGAAACAAAGCATATCAGTGAAGTAGAAAATGTTTAAACAATATCTGTAGCAACGCTCTTCTAGCAGAACTTAAATTCCATCAGAACAGTCTTTTCACGAAAAGTGACTTGGGTGTTATTCCTTATTGCTATTTTTACAGCACAGTGGGAGCAGCAGAGACAATATGTAAAAGAGCATTCATACAACACATGTGAATAATTATACAAGCCTATTTGTGCCATACAGATCTACAATACAAATTCAGCTTTTTGAATCTTCTCTGCACATGTCAGAAAGGAATTTCATATTGGTAAATAGCTTCAATTTGACTTAGGAAGATTAAAGGCTAGCTCAGTTATTACTAGTTACACTTAGTACAGAGTGGCTTTGCATTTTACATTCTAGTACAGAGTGTTAAACAGTATCTTTTGTTCCAGGCATTTTGTTCTTTGATATACTTACGAAAACAAGTATTTATCAAAGAAGTATTTTTGTTTCAGAGACCCCTGGTGGCCTAGTGGTTAGCGTGCAGGACTTTCACTGCTGCGTCCACGGGTTCAAGTCCCGGTCTCCTGGCCTGATGGAGGTCGTTAGCCCTGTGTGGCCATCCATCTATGAGAAGGACACTCTAAACAAACCTACGTCCTGAGGACCTCACTGCCATTGTCCAAGCTTGCTTGGCCCCGGCAGATGAACCTTAGGATTAAAGGGTGGGCTCAGTTCAGCGCAGGCTGTGTCTCACCTAAAAAATCCATTGCGCAGGCTGGAAAGGTAAAAGACCTTTCCCCAAATCTTCGTTCGCGAAGATGGGCCATTATTATTATTATTATTTTTGTTTCAATTTGTTATTCAGCACAATGCTGTAGTTAATCCTTCATCAGTATCTGCTATGAAGTAGATCAAGTTGAGAGTCAAAAAATATACGCAATTCTGCTGTCATTAAAAAACTCTATTACATATGGACAAAAATTCATATCACTATTTGAAGTATTATGAGATTACAGCAGTTAACTCACCTGGGCTTGCAGTTGACAAAAAAGTCATATATAAAAGTTCTTAAGTGAGAGGTGTATTGATTAGTTGTTTACCTTGTTACTAAGAACCATGCAATCTTCTGGAAGTCAGGAGAGAGTCTCATGTATGTCTTAATGTGAGGTATAGCACGAGTTCGACCTGAGACTTCTGCTGACCATTTGCTAGAAAAACAATAGGAATTCTTTTCATGTATGGTTTTATTTTAAGGTTTAAAAAATACCATACTACAGCGCCATGTTTCCAGTAACACTACCTATATTTGTCACATTCAACACTTATTCCCCCAGACAAAAGTTGAAAATACCTTATTTAACAGAATTGTTAATCCTGAATTCCAATTTTACTAGTAGTCAGAAGGGTAGGATTTTTTTTTCCCTTAAAACCAATCCAGACAAATATTCTCCTCAGTGTGCCAGATTCTCCTAACAAGTTTTTCCATTCCCCCATTCCAGCTCGCACTTAAGAAAGTAAGTCCAAACTTCAGGCCAATATTTCTTCTTTGAAGGCTATCAATGGTTATAACTTTGAGCATACAAGTTCGGCACCAAACTAAACCTCACAAAATTCTCCAAGTTTATTACAATTTATTATCCATGACATAGAGGCAGGCAGCAACTGATAGATAGTTGACACTACTCTTCCTCTTCCCTTTTCTGTACCCCTAAGTTGCTGAGAAATTTGAAGGCTTAAGAAAGTAGAGATCATATCTATGTGTATATATAAAAACTAGTTTAAAACAAGCCATTGCTGGATTAATTCAGCATCAGTGTTACAGAACTAAACTGTAAACAAACAGTAAATAAATGTATATAACTGCAGATATGTAATCACAGCATTTACAAGCACTTTCCACTAACAGCTGTTAGTCCTCACTCAAATTCAGGAAGAAGGCTTCTAATACACCATCTTCCACCCAGAGACTTTTCTTTCCTCACTTTAGAATATAATAGGTTCTAGTTTTGGTTATCACAATCCTCTTTGCCTAACTTCGCATTCTCTTCTAAAATGGAAATCGAAAAGAATCAATCAGCTCTGAAAAACCTTTAAAGTGTGCTGTGTTCATCTAAAAGCCTGAGAAGACTGACTTGGAAGGGCTGGAATTATTTACCTAAGTTGACTTTCAGGACTAACATTTACAGTTAGTGAAGTTAAAGTCAAGAGGTTTTATAGTTCATGGGTCAAGACCTACTTACTTTAACAATCCTATCTCCCCTGATGAAAGAAAGAAAAGCCTTTCTGAGAACTGGTCCTGTATTCCTAAAGGGCAAGAACTGACACACTCCACACATTTGACACTAACTAGAAATCTTTATATTTTGATGCAAGCCACACTGAAGTCTGTTTCTGAAGAATAAACTAAGATATGATATATGATACAGAACCAGCTAACTAAACTTCTCTTCCCCTATGGAACTCCACACTTTCCATACATACAGATTGTAAGGCTGTATCATAACTCAACCATCCTTGATAATAGCTTTTCTCTCCCAACTGACAGTTTAGGCAAACATTAAGGGACAAAAATAATTAGGTACCTCTGGTAACATTGTAGAAATGAAAAACAGGAAAAACAGTAGAACTGGGAATTTAAGACAGATTTTCTCTAGATTTACCTCACTACCTTACTCCAGGACAAACTTTTCCCCTCAATATTAACTGCAGTAATTCTGAAATACTCTCTCAATCTATCGCCTTTTTGCCTCCTTATCATCTTTGACAGATACAGGTAAGTAGTGTGTCTTAGCAAGAGTACTACCACTTCTATTTACTAACTACAATGATCTAACTGCAGTTTGTTTTAATCACAACCGACTGAAACCAGTATTTCGGAAACTCAAAATCAAAAAGTGGAACATACATTTTGGTCATGTTTTCCTTAGCAGGACAGCACAAACATGTAAGGAGAAAAAGAGGAAAGTGCTGGTTTTGGCTGTAGTAGTTAATTTTCTTCATACTAGCTAGTAAGGGGGTTTGTTTGGATTTGAGCTGGAAACAATTGTTAACACAGATGTTTTAGCTATCGCTGAGCAGTGCTTAGACAGCCTTTTCTGCCTCTCACAAGACCCCACCAGCAAATAGGCTGGAGGTGCACAAGACGCTGGGAGGAGACACAGCCAGGACAGCTGACTCCAACTGACCGAGGGGATATTCCATACCACACACTGTCATGCTCAGCATATAAAGCTGAAGGATGAAGGAAGGAGTGGACATTCAGAATGCTAACGTTTATCTTCCCAAGTAACCATTAGGCATGATGGAGATGACTGAACACCTGCCTGCCCGTGAAGTATGGTGAACGAACATTTTGCTTTGCTTGAATGCACAGCTTTTGCTTTATTATTAAACTGTCTTTATTTCAACCCACAAGTTCTCCCACTTTACTCTTCCAATTCTCTCCCCCTTTCCAATGTGGGGGTTGGGAGGAGGGTGGAAGAGCACAAGTGATTGTGTGGTGCTGAGCTGCTGGCCATGGTTAAACCATGACAAAGTCCTGAAAATTAATGTGTGCAGACATACACAACTCATAAGCAGAGCCAGGAATAACTGATTTTATATACCACCACCTCTTCCATCATTTACTTCAAGTACTGAAAGGGTTTTCCATCTCAAGAGTCTGGCAACAAGGCTTGGGCAGAGTTAAAACAATTCACGCCATTAGTCTCAACCATAAGAGAACAGTAGGTCCTCTGTGTAAATGCTCTCTCAACTTTTATGATGTTAGGGGAACAACACTGGAGTTCTTTGAACTGAGATGATGTTTCTCAAAACTATGGGCCTAAAGAACACAGAAAGCTCCAATACAACAATTATTATGGACTTGTTAAACAAACCCTTGTCAAACCAACTTCCATTCTTCGAAAATAAAAATTTGACAAGGTAACTGCACAAACAGAAAGCATGTAATATTAAAAGTCAATTAAAATTAGCATTAGAATAGAAAACTTCATCTGTTAAAGCTGATCAACTGTTTTTAAAGCAGCAATTAACAAAAATCATTAAGCATTGCAAATCTCTCCTTATCAATTAGTAATATTGAAAGGAAAAAACAGCAACCATACAAGAGAGAAAACTCTAAATTACACCATTTACACAGTAGTTAATTTATAAAGCAGTCTAGCAATTATTTGCTATGATCAGAAAAGTGAAATCAATATTAAGTTAAGTTTAGTCACATTATTCTTCTGAGAAATTACATTTCAAGCTGCACTACAAGTTAGTTAAATACACTCAACTGGCAGGAGAGAGAAAAGCAGCCCACAGACATTATAAAAATTGCATGCTTGGGACAGAGGTTCTGCCTCTTCAGGTGGGACTATAGAACACTATTTTCCAATTCCATTAATCTCTCCCTTCTTGTAAAGCAGAGCTATTTCTTCCCCTAACCTGTAAGTATAAAAGTATTTTTTTCTTTCTGCTCTGGTAGAATCCCTAAAGAGGTAAAGAGGTAAAGAGAAATTTCTCTAATCCCTTTACTGCTCAAAGTTTTATATTACGGCAAGTCTTTAAAACATCTTGTCTTATATTTAATGCTATTGAAAGCCTATTATTTTCCATATGTCCCAGATTCCATGGGTAAGAAGCTGCTGTATGTCACCTGCTCTATGGTAAGAACTCACATGCAGGCTCTCCTCCAGGGCTGGTGTTGTATATTACTGGTAAGGGTCTGCATCAGAGCAATTATGCAGGGCCACTTGTCATCTGCAACCAATGCAACAAATGAACTTTACTTCATCTGTTGCCCATCACTTTTGCCCTTTTGCTGCCAGAGCAGGACCCTGGCACATCCAATGGGACAGGTATGTGGGCATTTTCTCACTGAACAGGAATTAATCAATTAATAATCTCATTACTAAAGTAGCATTCTGTGCACTAAATAAGAGATTAACCAAAAAAAGGTTACATCTTTCTTCCAGTAAGATTCTCATGAGGTATATGACTACAGAAACTAAATTAAGACTGCACAAACACCTCCAGACTTATGATTTCCTCACCTTTTGAATCATGACTGAACAAGTTTGAAAATTTGAAGGTGATTGTAGCTTTCTTCCTTTGCTGCATGTGCTCAGAGGAAACACTTTAAAAGCAGGAGACAAAGCCTCACATGCTTTTTGTCCGAGTTCCATTCCTTGGACATTAACCAGCAAAGTCACAGCAGCAATCACATTCACTCCAGAATTAGGGATGCCTTCTGCAACCAGCAATTCTATTTCAGTCCCCTGAATATATTGCATCTTAGCATACTATTACTTAGTAAATTATCTTACCAGAGCAACTTCCACCTGGAAGAGTTAAAAGTTTCTGATGAAAGGAATGGGATGTTGTGGTCTTGTAAGAGGTTACAAGATGTACTAATATTTTTTTGATCTTTGCAAAACAACTTTTCCCCATTGTTCTCAAAACATGTTTAAGTTATTAAAGATTCAGGCTGAGGGAGACATCTGGCATGGAATATGTCAGACTGTTAGAATTTGGCAAAACTAGCAGCACATGGAAAGAAGTTCTTAATAGAAAATGTCAGGCACCTTTAACAAAAGATATTACCAGAAGGTAATGAGAATTTTTGCAGCAGGACTGCTGCACTCGGAAGATAAAAAAACCCTCTACGACAAAAAAGAAGCCTTCCTAACCCTGCTGTGGCTCAGCTGAAATCCTATTAATACAGAGGCAGAAGTGGGGAAAGTGAAATACAACTGTAAATTAAAAAAATAAAAGAGAGAAGTATTTTATTCCAGTCCAAAGAAGAAAAACTTAAATAACAGTTTACAAAATCCTAAATGCATTAGCAACAGTGTTCTGCATAATTTTTTTATAGGTAAATAGCATGTTTTCTACTATGTTTTGGAGATAAGACCCAGCAGATAAGGAACTAAAGGCTTTTATTTTAAGGAATTTAAAAATATCATGTTTGTAACCACTTCCACTTAATTTGCTTTTAACACTCAAACATTACAGCATTGTCAGTTTAAACATACAGTCTAAAAAACCCCCCAAAAAACCCCAAAGAATTGAGTTATACTTACTGAAAATAGGAATGCAACCACAGCTGTTTCTGTGCTGTCTGTATACTGTATGGAAGCGAGCCACCAGCTTAAGGAACAAAATAGAACATGTACATTTATTTTTTGAAAGACATTCTAAAAGCAGCAAGCATGTTGGGGAATAAGCTATCTGTACTACCCTCATGAGTTACTTTCAGGAAGTCCTTAAATGCTCCAGTAGTATAAAATGGTATATAGTTTGGTTTTTTTTTTAATTCTCATAATTTAGCAAGTTCCTAAACACTACACAGCATATTTACACTAAGAAAAAGAGAAAATGCACAGAGGCTATGGAATTGCAGGTAGTTTTCTGTTAGGATAGGACTTGATATCAACAGATTAGAAGCATACAAACTAGAAGGAATAAAACAAGCAGCTTTCAGAAGAAAAAAGAACCTACCAACACCCAAACAACATTATTTTAAAAAGCAAGAACTTCTCTGATGAAATGGTATTTGTATTGATTTGGCCTTTGGCTAATGCCTGTTGTGATTTCTTGAAACAGGTTTAATAAAGAAGAATCAGCCAGGCATACTGAGTTGTATTAGTGCTGTGTATAAAAAGCATGATACAAAGCCTACTGTATTCAACATGTCCTAGAACACACCATAAGGACCCATCACAAAATCTTTAGTACTCTCAGGAATGCACTAACTGCAGAAGCCCACAGAGCCGTTCAACTGCACAAACACAGAGTTGTGTAATTCACCAAGTTATTTCACAATATGAAAGAAATTACAGTAAGAAGTCACTGAGCTATAGACAACCAGATGTATTCAAAACACCCTAAACCTACCAGTGGGAATCAGATACCTACAAATTCTCTGGCTGCAGTTTCTATATATGTCCAAACACTCTTTAATTCAGAGGAAAGAAAAAGATCTGAAACAACTCCTGCTTGCCCCAGGTTCAAAATACACCGGCTGTTAGAAGAATTCAACAGCTACTCTATTTCATACTTCACAGGAACTTGGGCATCCAGCTTGGAACTGGAACATGCATTTAATGATTCAACCATGTCAAAAATCACTGAATCATTGAAGGTGGAAGCACCCTCTAGAGATCATCTAGAATAACTCCCTGCTCAAAGTAGTGTTGAACAGAGCACATTGTTCAGTACAGTGTCAAGTTTTGAGTATCTTCAAAAACAGAGACTCTACAGCCTCTACAAGCAACCTGTTTCATTTAAACATTAGAAACATTTCTGCTGTAAGGATGAATTGAGATACAGGAGATTTCTGTGTATGTCCATTGCTTTTTGTTCTTTCCCTAGTCACGCAAAGTGTCTGCCTCTACTTTGCATCCATCAGGTATTTATACATGTTGATAAGACCTCCCAGGAAAGTTCTCTTCTCCAGGATGAAGAATCATCCAGCTCTCTCAGCCTCTCCTTGTATGATTGATGCTCCAATCCCTTATTCATCTTTGTGGCTTTTTGCTGTACTTGGTTCAGTATGTCTGTGTCTGTATTGTACTGAGAAGTCAACAATTGGACACGGCACTCCAGATTTGGTCTCACCAGTGTTTAAATAGAGAGGAAAAGTCCTGGCAATGCACTTCCTAACACAGCCCAGGGTGCCATGGGCCTTCTTGCTACAAGGGTACACCTTGAGCTTAGTGACCATCCCTGGTCCTTTTCAGCAAAATTGCTTTCCCCAGGTCAACCCCAGTGTGCACTGGTGCCTGGGGTTACTCTTGCCCCAGCATAGTATTTTGCATTGCCCTCTGTTGAAATGCATGAGGTTTCTGTCTGCCCATTTCTCTAGCCTGCATGGCCCCTCTGAGTGGCTGAACAATCATCTGACACATCAACCACTCCTCCTGAGTTTGCATCATTTGCAAGCTCACCAAGGGTGTACTCTGCCCCACCATCCAGGTCATTAATAAAGATATTAATGCATGACCCCAATATCAGTGCTTGGCACATTCCACCACTAGTGGCTGACCCCCTGCTGGCCTTTGTGCCATTGATCACAGTCAGTGAGGCCTGGCAGTTCAGCCAGTTCCAATCTGCCCCATGTTCCACTCATTCAGCCTGTACTTAATCATGTTGTTGTAATGATGTTAGAGCAGACAGGGATGAAAAACTTAAAGTTAAGATAAACAACATCTAGTGCACTCCTCATTCATCAGGCCATTCATCCCTTTATAGAAGGACATCAGGTTAATTAAGCATAATTTATCCTTTCAAAAATGCATGCTGACTATTCTGGATCACCTTCTTGGTCCATCATGTTTGGAAATATTTTCCAGTATTCTTTGCTCCATAACCTTTCCCCAGGATCAAAGTGAGGCTGGCAAGCCTATAGGTCCCCAGATCCTCCTTCTTACCCTTCCTAAAGACAGGAAAGAATTTCTTTCTTTTAGTCCTTGTGAATGTCTTCCAATTGCTTTGACCTTTTGAAGACTTGTTTTTGAGTAAAAGAAGCTTCACTGCATCAGAATACTACAGTACCAGTTCCTGTTTCTGGTTTGCTGGGGCTATGCTTTCACAAATATATTGACTTTGTGAATATAAACATGGGAAGACTGAACAGAACAGCTGTATATTACAATATTTAAAAAATGACCAATGACTAGCAAAACATCTTAGCCTCTGTTGTATTTGATGTGCAAAACGACACTGCAAACAAAACTTGGCACACTCAAACCTGAATTTTCTGCCAAAATGAAAGTATGACTGGAGTAAGAAGAGTGGGCAAGAGTTGTTATTTTCATACACAGTGATGTATGAACATGGCTAGACAGACTTAAACATTACCTACCAACGCCCACAAAGCCTCTTGTATTCAATCACAATAGGAGAGCTGGAGCTAGAGCTCCAGTAAAAGAAAATTAAAGGATTGTACTGCCACCTATTCTACCACGTTCTCAGCAAGATGACAACTTTGTGTTCGTTCAACATCAACCACTAAAGTGATTTTGCAGGACGTTATGACCACAAAAAGCTAATAAATGGGGATTCATCTGCTTACCAGGATACCCTTCCAGACTCAGCCTCACATTGTTCACAGTAGGATAAACCTTCATGGAAAAAAAAGTAACTTTAATAACAGCTCTAAATATGCAAGCTGCCAATTTTCAAACAAATGACACTTCAAAGAAAACCTGAGGAAAAAAACACATTAAAAGCTTCACTTTTCAAAATGAATAAAATTACACTGGAGCTTAAAACTACACGTGTGCCAGTAACGAAGTCTAATATTTTTACTGCTCTTACAGAGCTAACCAAAATTAGCTAGCAAGATTCAACACTGCTTCAACCACTTTCAAGTGGTCAAAGCTAGCCTTAACATTACTTTATGAGATTTTAGTCTCATATCTCAAATATGAGTACGCAGGAGCAACTAGCACATGGTAAAGGCCACAAACTTCTTTCTGCTCCTCCATTTCACTGTGCTAATAACCAAAGGTATTAATGACTAAGGGTTCAGTTACATCTCAGTAGCAGAAATAGCTGCATCTACAAAACCTAACAGAAGATAAGTTATAGAGTGAGAAGACAGTTTTGATTAGATTATATATACTCTAGTGTCATGCAGATGGAAGTCATAGTACATTTTTATAGTATACCATACACAATTAAGTATCAGCAAGTGGCATGCTTAGGATTTCAGGATGAAAACCCCATTACTGTCTTTCAAAGAAAACCAATGACTAAGATTTCAAAATCAAATAATAAGTGTTAAATAAAGGTCACCAGCATCTAAAAGACATACCAAATGAATTGGGACATCGCATTTAAGGAAAGGTGTCACACCACTGCCTGCAGCCACCAGACTCTCTTGGAACTCAGAGCACAGCCATTTGGACCCATCAGCTCCCATTGAACCAATGCTTGAGAACTGTCCAACAAGAGGCCAGGATTCCTGTGCTGGTATTGACAAAGCATGCTCCTTCAAAAGCTAGTGAGGGGAATTAAAACACTGTTAGACTTCAACAGGCAAAGAATACCTTTATTGGTTTGATATCACTTCTGATATAATAAATATAATTCACTTCTGATAATGAAAGAGATTAACATTTATACTACATATTTAACTTTGCAATAAAAAAAAAAAAAAATTATCAGGCTTTCCAAATAACCCACTTCAAGAAAAGATTAAACATCACAAGTTTTATCCAAAAGCACTAAAGCTAACCATTAAATAACAAGTGAAAAGAATATTAGAAACTCTTTCTAAAAACATGAAACATTAGCTTCAGAAGTCACAACAACTTCACTAAATATTTTTTATATTTGGTGGTTGTTGGCCATAAAATTCCTCTCATATTATAGCCTCAGCTACAACAGAAGCCTACAATAAGAAGAGAAAAAAGAACAATTGAAGACAAAAGTGAAATAATCCTTTTAGTAGAGTTCTTTAGCTGAGAATGGAATTTAAAGTCACATTAAAACCAGATGGATATAGGCACATATTAAATTCTATGTAGTGGCTACCTTGACCCCTCTAGAGAGATCACATAACTAAATAGCTTCAGCCATGAGTGTAGTATCATCAGGACTGTCTGCATGGGTACTTAAAATATTAACCTTTTTAAAATCACAGAAACATTTGCCACAAGACCACCTTTACAGGCTTTTTCTGTTTTATTTTGTTCTCATTTTGTGTTTAACTAGGCAAAAAACATGGAAGACAACATGTACTAGAAAGGACAAGCTCTTAACAAGCAATGGGAAGTCTAAAAGAGTAAGTTAGTGTCACAAGTCATGTGATACATAAACATTTTGTATGCCACAGAAGCTTGCCATGGACAGGATTAGAGCTCCATGTAAAAGTCATGACAGTATTCAAAATAATGCCACTTTAGCAGGAGGTGCAGGTTGAAAACTCTCCAATTATCAGAGGCCTTTAACAGATAATGTGAAATACATCATCTAATTCTAAAACACAACAAAAAAAACAACCAAAAAACACAACAATAAAGAAAACCAAACCACAACAAACAAGAAGGGTCCCTACAAGAGATATGCAATCTTGTATGAAGATTCACCATTATGGCTTATCTAAATAATCACAGAATCATTTAGGTTGGTAAAGACCTCTAAGACAGTAGGGTCCAATCATTAACATAACACTGTCAAGTCCATTACTAAACCATATCCCTGAGTGCCACATCAATATGCCTGTTAAATACCTCCAAGGTATTTAACACCACCACCTCCCTGAGCAGCCTGTTCCAATGCCAACCCTTTTGGTGAAGAAATTTTTCCAAATATCCAATCTAAACCTCACCTGGTGCAACTTGAGGCTATTTCCTCTTGTCCTATCGCTTGTTATTTGGGATAAGATATGGCCCCCACCTTGCTACAACCTCCTTCCAAGTAGTTGTGGAGAGCAGTAAGGTCTTCCCTGAGCTTCCTTTTCTCAAGGCTAAACACCCCTAGCTGCTCCTCATTAGAACTGTGCTCCAGACCTTTCACCAGCTCCATTGCCTTTCTCTGGACACACTCCAGCATCTCAATGACCCCTCTTGTAGTGAGGGGCCCAGAACCGAACACAGGATTTGACACGTGACATCAGTGCCAAGCACAGAGGGACAATCACTACCCTGGTCACAATAACCACACTGTTTCTGATAGAGGCCAGGGTGCCACTGGCCTTCTTGGCCACCTGGGCACACTGCTGGCTCATGTTCAGCTGGCTGTTGACCAGCAACCCCAGGTCCTTTTCCACCACACAGCTTTCCAGCCTCTGCTCCAAGCCTGTAGCGCTGCATGGGGTTGTTGTGACTCGAGTGCAGGACCCAGAACTTGGCCTTATTGACCCTCTAGACAATCAAAACTCTAACATGCAGGGCTACCTGTGATGACCCGACAGCCTCTCCTTCCTTGCCTACCCTTTCTAAAGGGTTTATAGCCATCCACTGCAGCACTCCAACTGTGTGAGTCATCTCACCATGCTTCTGTGATGGCAACTATGTCAGAGTTTTCCTGCTGCACAATGACTTCCATTTCCTCCTGTTTGTTGTCCATGCTGTGTACATTGGTGCAGATGCACTTCAGTGGGACTATTGATCCTGCCACCTTTTTGGAGAGAGAAGCCCTAATTCCTACATGACCATTCTCAGGCACTTTCATGATTTCTGACACACTAATAAGTCTTGTGTCTTTGCTGCTAAATGGATGTCCATCCCCTACCTCCACTGAGACAGCAGACTGAAGGACCTTGTTAGCACAGTGTCCCTCAAACACTGGTGTGTTTGAGCTGCTCCAGGCTTATTTTTAGTGAGCCTGGTTTTATCCTTTCACCCATTCAAATCTAGTTTAAAGCTCTTTCAGTGAGCCCTGCTAAGTCCTGAGCATAGGTCCTTTTTACCCTTTGAGACAAGTATATACATCCTGTCTGTCGCCAACAGGCTTGATGTCACATATACTGACATGACCAAAAAACCCCAAAATCCAGCAAAAAACCCAAATAGGGGACAGAGTGGGTGTAAAAAAAAAAAAGTCCATGTTTCTAATTATTTAGTTGATATAAAAATGCAATAGAAAAAAAAATAATCAAGATCTTAGCAATGTAGTGGAATATAACTAAAATCTTGACCGAACTGATGACATTTGCTATGTATAAACTGGTTTTTTATTTGATTGGTTTATTGCCAGCTCATTAGAGAAAAAGAAACTGCAATAAACCTTAACATTCAAGTAATAAAACATGCCTACTCCCTATGTGCAGACAAGTCTCTATGTCAACAAATCTTTCCTCAGTTAGTGCTTTTGAAAAAGGCTACATTTGGATCCCAGTCACAGAAGACTGGATTTTGACAGTGTCACTCTTGCTAGAAACACCAACAGCTGACAGGAAGTCATTTGAGTTACACTGACTCCTCAGGTATCTGTAAGCACATGACAAGACCACAAGCTGACCATGGAAATAACTCCCAGGAACACAATGCACAAAGTCTACACTGTCATAAGTTGCAAGCTTATGTATGTTATTGCTAACTTAAACTGTAACAATGTATTAAAAGACTGAAGATCACAGCTGGAAAGGAACTCAAGCATGCCCTCCCAAATTCTATTTACATTTGAAAGGACATTAACAAAAAAGGTTACAGTTTTGGTACCTTTCTGAGCCTAAGATGACCCCACTTCTCTTTATCACTGCCTTGATACCGTCCAGGGGTAGAACCAAGAAGAAACACTCTACAGAAAGAAACAAAAAATCCCGAAGTTATTTGTAGATCTGGAGTGGTTTGGTTTGGTGAAGTAGCAAGGTATTAAAGTAAAACCTATCAGCAAGATTGAACATAGAAGTGCAACCAGAAATATTTAATCTTTCTCACAGAATTTACAATACAAAGAAAAGTATATTTTCAGCTGTATAATTATTATTAGCATCCTGTGTGGCTGTCATGCACCACCAGGATGTTAACAGCATAGACAACAACTACACCTATTTCTTTGTATAAAAATGCAGAAGACAGACAATGTTAGCAATAAACACAAAGAGCTTATTTGACACATTACTGGGCACATAATTTTGAGAAAAGCCACTCTACTGCTGCATCCAAATCAGCAGATTCAGGTATGAGTTGTCATTTGGGCACCCAATAGTTCAGATGCAAAGTACAGCTCTTTTAACCATCTTCCTAATAATGGTTTAGTAACCTGTTTGACTTTACCCTGAAAACAGGGAAGAGACCTGCCCAAAGTCACAACAAACATAGGCTTTAAGAAGCTGTTCCCTACTGCATCTCATGCCTAGCTTTATCCATGAATGAATGTCCCCTACATATTTCATAGGGCAAGGAGTTGATCCTTACTCTAACAAGTGACTCTTTCCTAGACCGTGCATAAACTCACATCAGCTAGGGCTCAGCTCATGTGGCCAAGCTCATGAAGATGATAAATTCAATCAGAGCAGCAGCTCAGGCTGTTAGCTCTCCTGATTATAAAGTACATACTTTTTTCTTCACCCCCCTTCAATCTTGTATGACTCCATGTAAACAAAAAAGCATTTTTTCATGTATGAACTAGACAAGGTTTCAGACTCTATTTTCACTGCAGTTTATGACCATTTTCAGCTTTTTCAGCTTTACTTTTCAACAATTTTTATCAGCTTATAAAACTGCAATTAAGTCATCAAGACACACTTTCTGAACTAAGGACCCATATTTCAGTGGAACTGCAAGATGTATCTATTAGAAGTAAATTTGAGCAACCTGAATTATTTTAAGCAGTATCAGCAATGTGATATTAGAGAAGACTATTTCAAGACCAAGTAGACACAACATTGCATACCAGACTCAACTCATGCCTGTTACAGGCAAAATACTATATATATGCATGTGGATTGAACTTCGCCTTACAATTCAGAAGCCTCTTCTTACTCTCCCCATTAAAGTAACCTTTACATATATGATTGTTTTTACATGACAAACCAAATACCACACAGTGTTTTCCACTGGTAATTTCACTGGAGTAAATATTTAAGTCAGACTGTCTTAAATGAAACCAAATCCTTACCACTTTACAGTTACCTTCTGTAAAGTTACTGCTGGTGCACCTTTCTTTCTTCCTTCCTTTAAAATTCATGCTTATAAAACTAGAAGTGGGTCAATTTGACATAATCTATACAAGACATATCTAAAAAACTGTGTGAAGTTAGAGTCATATTTGAACACTGAAGCCTGAAACAAGGTAAGCTTACAAAACAAACTCGGGGTCTAATAGATTCTAACAGAGATATTCAATTTTTGAGAAAAAAACCTTCACACATGCAAGTTACTAAGAACACAATATGTACCTTGTCTCTGATAAGTCATGTTCTTGAATCAGATCTATCCATTCCTTGAGTATAGGAGAATTGTAAGCCATCAAGTAACTTATTAGGTCAGATTTAAAATTAGTTTCAGATTCACCGGCAGAACCTGTTGCTCCCTTAGGCAGCCTTGGATATAAAGGGCTTAGCCATATTCTAAAAAAAAAAAAAAAAAAAAAAAAAAAAGCCACATAAACAAGGACACCACACATCAACATATGGTTTTAGTAAGTGATTAAAGTACATATGAAGGTCCTAAACAAATACTAGAGAGATTTACTGTGATATTTACTATAGTTGACTTGCCTTTACAGCTACAGAATCACCATCTTATACTCAAAACCAGAAAACTAATACTTTCAAATGAAAACAACCATCTCAATATTTATCCACAGTTTTCACCTCTGTTAAACAGGCCAGGATCAGACTTAGCAACCATTAGTCCTTTTATCAACATTTTCTGTAGGAATAGGACACTGCAATGCATTGTGCTAAACTCCTGGTTCGTGCAATTATAAAGGAAATCACCAATTAAAGCATGTGAAAGTTTTGCATAGTTTGAAGAGTAGCCCACAACGATAAGCTGCCTCTCCAGAACTTCCATCAGAATAAAATAAGACGGGCACTACACAGGAAAAACATTTAGCATTTCTTTCCAGTCACACACCATTGGAGCCATGGAAACCAAAGGTTCTGCATTATCAACTTTACAATGTGTTGACACTATCCTTTGAAATTCAGAAATCGATAAAACAGAGAAGACAGTGAATCACCACATATCAGTGATACTGCACAATAGTGCAGTATGCAAAAGCTAAAAAGAAAAATATTTTTCATGTTTGACAAGTAGGGAAACTTGTTAAGTATCCCAAGTAGGTATTTTCATGCTTTCTTAGCTTTCTAAGAAGCTAACTGCCACAAGATACTAAAGCTGCCTCTAAGATTTAAAGGCAAAAAAAAAAATCAGTGGCTATTTTTGCCACTCAAAAACCTCCAGAGCTTGCCTCAGACAAGCAAAAAGCCTCAAAAACCCTGCCATATTTAATGGCAGCAAAATGGATGCCAAAGCGATGGTATCTTCTGAAAAGCCATTTTCAATTAGTTTGAAGAAATTTTATACCCTGATTTACTAAGGTGATCTAACTAAAAAAATGCTCCCACAAAACCAGTCAAAAAACAAGAGGCAGAGGAGCTTTATATTACTATATATTTATAGTAATATATTTATTTATATTTATTTATTAGTCCTATTTGTAGTGCTCTAAACAAAACTATGTCCCAGGCTGGTCAGCAAGTTTAAAAACTTCTACAAAGAAAATAAAACAGGAAAAAAATTCCTTCCAAGGAAAGAATACTGGGTAGATACTAGGTTAACTACTGTATTATGGAACCAGTAGTGCCCAACATTTATCAGGTTACATTCTGCAGAACATTTGCACATTCATAAAATTCTTGAAGTATTAAGATAATTTTTAAATAGCTGCTTCAGATCTATATAAAGAGTACTTTATAGCTAAGAAGTTTTTTCATGAAAAAACAGAATGGCATAATAAAATTTTATATCAGTCAGATCAGGTTTAAGCTAACAGCCAACTGGGTACGTAATTTTGTTTACAACAGGAAGCAAGCAGAGTTCAGGCTCAGACAGCTACCAGCATTCTAGGTTCAATTTTTTATTTTTTTCTTTAGAACAGCTCTATCTTAGGAGTCCAAGACTTTAGCACTAGATCATCTGACCTAGTATCCCATCTCCAGCAGCAGCAAATACCTACAGAAAGTAGTAAAGTAAACATACACCTGCTAGAGATTGTTGCTTACCCCTGAGTTTTCTGGTGCCAATCTTCAGCGATAAGATTGGACGTATGAATCACAACTCGAAGACCTTCTTCATATAACAACAACATCATTTTCCTTTAAAAAAAAATACAGAACTCTTCATCTATTTTAAGTACACAGAATAGGAGATAAATTAACAAGTCACTAAAATGCTTCAGGATAATGTTTTTTGAAAAATTTGTTCTGCACCATGCAAGCACTTAGACTTCAATCCATGCGCAGGCCAAGCTCACATGGCAGTCATTAGAACGTCCTGATATATTTTATTCTAGAGTACAGCTTAACATTTCATGCAACACCCACAGCAAAAATCAATACTTGCAGAACACTTCCTATATTTGCAAAGTTCTTCAGATAAACTTATCCCTTTGCAGATAGTTAGAAAATTTAGGAACACTAAAAGACCTTTACTTATAGCTGAATTAATTGAAACCTAGTTCCTTACTCTTAAACTGAGAATTTTTATTTAAAAAGAAGGTGTGTAGGTAGCTAATCACTGGGACATCAAAAAAAGCTATTTATCTACCATAACTCTAAACTCAAGCTACCGCATAAAGAAGTTTTAAAACTAGTAACTGAGTTTAAAATAAACATCTGTATTTCTTGGTAACGTAAGTGCTCAAATTTTCATATACAAGCTTTCAATAGTTGTGTAGACAGCATATTCATATGGTCCCAAGGTATGAAACGGTTTCCACAGAAACCCATGCTCAAGAATAAAAGCCATAAGGAAAAACACTCTTATTCTCATTGCTGCCCCATGACAAGATGCAAATTGTATCAGGCTTGAACTTAGGCAAGTATTTATTCAGTAAATTCTGCTTTTAATGTTACCTGCACACACTTTCCTATGCTTACAGCAGTCTGCACAATATGCAAGACCCTGTAACCATAAAATAGTTGCCCGCATCTGTGTTATGCCTTGATCTAAGCACAACTGGAGTTGACAGTAAAATAAGTATTTTACAGCAAAATAAAGTGCAAGATTAAGGTATATAAAAGTGATAGCTGACTGAAAAACCACTAATCTCAAAAAAAGTCACTGAAATGTAATATAAGTTTAACATCATACAACCAGAATTACATGTAACTCTTTATATTTGATGGGGTGAAATCTGTTAAGTGTCCCCCTAAAAAAAGCTGTTTTATTACCCACCAGGATCCAATTTACTACTCTGCTAATCACTTGTTTTCCACCTGAAGTGGAAAACATTCAGAAACACACTACCCAGAATAACCCTTTAAAATACAGGGTTTAAAGAACTGCAGCATTTAGTATCCTTATCACTTATTTATGCCAAAGTGTAATTGAAGAAAAAAATCTAAAGTTGAACACACAAAGAATGAGAGTTGCTGCTTATACTGCTTAAGTGAAAATAAGCTAAAGCTTTAAAAATTATCTATTTGAAAGACAACCTCAATTCATTCTATGTCCCTCACCAAACCTGAGAGAAACAAGACTCCTTTTTTAAAAGCTGATTTCTTCTCTTTATCTGCATGTTTTTCTCCAAACAGGCAATGAGTTTGTCAGTATGCTTTCTGTCAGAAACACTAGCCTTTCAGATCAATGTTTTAATGTAATGTCATGTTTCATAAAACAAGTTATGCAAAAGGTTAACTGATTGAAAAATACTGCAGTATTTTTTACTGAAAACTAAACTGAAACCAAAATATCTTTGCTGAGATGTAAGATTGAAAGCTACAGATAAGAACAGATTTAATCTATAAAATTCCCTTTGTGACGCTTCTACAATATTAAATTCAAGTTTCTTCTTTGAGAAAACCCCCCAAATTCACTAATTTCCAGATCCTTCACATATCAACACAAATCAGTGTTGTGCCTGCCCTGCCAAGAGGCAAAACTGACTGATCAAGTCTGCATTACAATTTTGGCATTAAGGTGCAAGGCAAGAGCCAGGACCTGCAGTTCACGTGTCTTAGACCTGTTAGACTTCAACTGTCTAGCCTGCACATCTCGTATCTACCCAACAGCTGAACTGTTTCCTTAAACTGGAAGAATCCTGCCATCTCTAAATATAAAATGGTTATGGAAATTTTTCTTTAAGACTCAACAATTTCTATGAAACTCAGCTTTGTGGCAGACCTTTCTGCTTCATAGTGTTACTTACGTGTGGTGAGTTCCAAATGCAATATCCAGTTTAGCCTACAAAATTAAAAAGTTGATCATTAAGAATTTCTATTGTGCACTGCTTTCTAATTTTATTTCATTTCACTGCTCTCTAGTGGACAGATCACAAAACACATTATTTCCCCCCTCAGCACTTCTAAATGCAGTCTCCACTTTATACAAGCTAGACTTCAAATGGCACTCAATTTTTGCTGGAACTGCTCCAGCAAAATTTCTGCGTCTCTTACCAGCAGCATTTTCAGAAACAGCCAGCAGAAAAGGACCCGAGGTTCCTGCTAGACATCCAGATGAACAGGAGAGAGCGAGCAGCTCTTCTATGAACCCTGTGACATTTTTGTGGGCAGCTGTTCTATGCACACTTTTGTGGACTTAGGTATGTCCTTATGGTAGGCTAAGTCCAGGATCATTGTTACCATGTTCCTATAGTCCTGGTAAGTACATTCCTTAAAGATTAACAAAAAACTCTTGACTTCCCACATAAGGTGTGTCTCTTTTCATTCATAACAAGATTTTGAGTGCAGCAGATGGCTTAACTTCAACCAAAGGATGATACAGACATTAATTACCTGACAAAAGCTAATGTTCTCATAAGGCCGTGCTTGTGCAATCAGTTCAGCTTTGGATTCTCTCTTTTCACCATGAACTATCAGCAATGGCTTCTTCCTTAAACACAAGGAGATAACCATTGAAACATCAAGTGAATTAGCAATCAGCCTAAACCATTTCTTCACGTAGCTATGACTTCTGGCCCCTACATTGGATAACCCAGCAGAAAGATGGCACTGAAATTTATATGCCTTGTTAACTAACTCACAATAGCAGTAACTACAATTGAACCTCTAAGAAAAAGACACTAGAAAATTTTAATGGAAAAAAAAAAGGAAAACAGGAAGCATGGAATAAAGCAGATGCCAAAACAGGAGCTATTAATACAAGATCTTGAAAGGAATTCTTATCCCTATAGCTGGAAATGGACAAATGAAAGTTCTCAAAAGCACTGATATACACAGTGGGGATCTAAGACAATTTAGAAACTGTCATCTTAGAGAGAAGATGGGAAGAATGATAGGGAAAAGGAGAGGGCTAGGTCTATTCTGGCAGTAGTTTGGTGTTCACTCCCTAGAACTCAACTTCTGATCCTGACAATTGGATCCAATCCACAGGCAGGGAGTGTTGCCTCCCTGGGGCCCAATTAAGACACATCACCAGGAAATTTCCCAGCCTAGTATGGCCCACTGATTATCACCCACTACTGGTTTTCCAGCTGCATACTGATGACAATTTTCTGACATAGGTAGTTGAGGATCCCAGAAGGAATAGGGTGCTGCTCGACCCACTGTGGTCCCTTCCAACCTTACCCATTCTGTGAACTCTGGTTCTACTGCATTTCCAGTAAAATGAAGAAAAAAGTATAGAAAAATGCACATTATACACTCACTTCATCTGCAGCAGGTTGCAACTACCAGAAAGGAATTTCAAGCAAACAAGAACTGCTTTCATGACAATATCTATCAACTCACTATGTCATAACCACACCATCATCCTGATACTTTTCATGTAATTTTCTTGTGCCCTTCCTACACTCTCCTTTCTCTTGCAATATCTGGCTCTTGACTCAGTAAACTGTAAGGGCAAAAAGCTTCTAACTCCATCTTTATAGGTCATCTACTGCACTGTCACTGTGGCCCACAATGGAACCTCCCAAATGTTAACTAATAAAAATAAAAAACCAGCTATACTGAACTCTGACCATTTAACAGTCTTGGAAAAAAAGCCAAGAAATCGATAGAGAACTACAACTGTGGAATAAGAGTAGAAAGAAAACCAAGAGTCTATGCATATACAATTGGTAACAATAATTTGCAACTGCAAACAAGTGCTCATCATTCACTTACAACACGAACCTGTATGAACCAAATGATCTGGGAACTGCATAATTTCATCTTCATAAAATAAACATACCTGAATTCCTGTGGATACTGTCTTACAAGCCATCCCACATCTATACAGTAGTTAAACTTGCACATAAGAAAAAGAAAACAGACTCATTAAAAAGGAAAAGCAGTTTGTTAAAACACTGAACTACAGTAAAAAACCTTCTTACGTAAAGTCATCACGCAACACTGCTTGCATCATATACAGCATGTTCTAAAACCAAGTGTATTTTTTACTTTCACATGTTTCTTTTATTTCTCTTGACAATTTAAGAATGAATTCAAGTTTCTCAAAAGCATGTGTTAGTGGTCATAAAATTTAACATGCAGGAAAAAAGGAATCTATGCACATAATGTGAAAGCTTTGGTTCAAGGATCATCTCTTTGCCATGTTCTTATGCCACGAATGACAGCAAAAGCTTCTAGACAATAACAAAAATATCATTCCTAGACTGCAAGGCAGTTTTTTTTCTTCCTCAAAAACAGGAAAGAGAAAGTAGTCCTATAATTGCCTAAATTCTAAAGCAGAAGGTGGGATGATTTTTATGTTTCAAGAAACTGCTGAACAGTCGAAAACATTTAGAATCCCCTCTGTACTTTAACAAAGTTCCCTGCTAATGTCAGCTACATGGTACAAGCATGGATTATCAAGTTTAAGATTAATTAAGTGAAACAAGCAAGTCAAATCAGTTTGGCAACCAGGAAACTCACCTGGGCAGAAGATATGAGAGTCCCAAAAAGAGGAGACAAAATATCTATTAAAAAATATTAAAGTATAATTAAATTAAAAAAAAAAAAAGGTTAAAGTAAACATTTTGCATCTTGAACAGCTTGATAACTACCATAGCACAAGGCCCAGATTGTTCAAAGATTTGGTGTAACAGAGGCTCTCACAAGCGAGATTACTTATCTGAGTATTCAAGTCACTGTTCTCCACTGAATCACTTAGGGTCATATGCTTATAAAAAGCATTAATACTTTTAAAGCAGAAAACAAGTTTAAAAAATTGATTAGGAAAAAGTCCAGGATCATATTGAGAAAGGGACAAACTACTCTCTCCCCTATAGAATGGGCTTAAAGAACTGTGGCAAGGTAGCAGCAATAATGGCATAGTTAATGCTTATTTGTCTGTTGCAAACTGATTATAGGATATGTGTATCCATAGTTCATTCATGGTAACACAGGAAACTAATCCAACTGAGGATTTATAACCTCAACAACTGAAGCACAGCACCAAGTTGAAAACATACCCTATAAATACTTGCTAGGATGGGTAAAATATTTCATGCCCTAGCTCTACAGAAATCTGGTTTTGCAGGTTAAACAAAAAATACTGCCTACCACCTCAACTAATCACCTAGTAGAAATTATAAGAGAGGACAAGCCAAAAGCCCCAATACATTCATAAAGCACATAAAAACATACAGCAATAAAGCAACTTTGGTCTCTCATACCAGCTTGCATCAATAATCAGTGCTCATAGGGAGCACATGAGATTGAAGGAAAGTTACAACCTAATTTTACAGGTCTTTGGTGATTTCTTCTCCTTCAAAGAACGACAATTTTTTTCTGCCCCATTTTATTGTATTTCTGTGCATAACTCTCTTATTAATGCCTGCTTCTGATTCTGTCTCGTGATGCAGGAGATTTCATTTCTGAATAAGGGGATCCTTACAGGTGTACAAGGCTCTTCCCCCCTATATCAAACTACAACTACAGAGCAATCCTGAAGCATCAGTAATGTAACACCAAACACCTTGCTCCATCTTGACTTATGTTCACTCCCAATTGAATTCAAATGGACCCATAAATCCCAGACACTGATGTTCAGAAGTACTGCATCAAGTAATAGCAAATTACTAGATCCAAATCCCTCAGCAGCATGAAGGCAAGTGCAAACAACTACTCAGGGAGTTAGGCATCCAAGAGAACCATCCCTATAACTGCCATGAAGACAAGCAGTTTTCCCCACATTAACTCATAGGGAAAGCAGCAATAAGAAACACATTTGAATTACCTTGGCTAAATACACATTAGATTTGTGCAGCATAACTCAGAAGTTACAACCACGTATAAGCAAATAATGCTTTATTATACTTCTAGAAGACAAAAGTCCAGATAAGAGAACCAATTCCTATAAACCTGCATATTTAGAATATGAAACTTCAGCTACACCAAGAAGTACACGAATTTAAAAATACCCACAAACTAAAGCATGCTCTTGCTTTCTCCCAAAAGCCCACTTCTGTACAAGCCACTTGTTCACCTTTTATGTGCAGGGCTCCAGAATTATAACTCTGTTCAATTCCACTGACTTTAGTGAGAAAAAACCTGAAGGGATTCCCTCCATTCAACAAATCCCAGGTATCTTGAGCTTCACTGGGTGTTTCATTATATTCCTCTGCTTTCAAATTCTCTGAGAGTTTGTCATCTTTGCAAAGATTCAGAGGCTCCTCTTGGGGCACATCATATTTTTCTTCTTTCACTGTTTCTCTGGAGGCATGCTTTTCCTGATCTTCGGGCTCTTCATCACTGCTAGAAAGACACCAGCCTAAGCCTTCTTGGCTAGTTCTCTGTTTTGCTGCTGGAGGTATTTCTGTAGAATGACTTTCATCAGTGAGCTTCAAGGGAGAAGCTTTTCTCTTGTGAGCAGCTTTCCTAGCTTCAGAGCATGGATATTGTGGTTCACTTGTTCTACCACGTGCAGCATCCGGTAATGAAGATGTAGATGGTTTTTCACTATCAGAATCTTCCTCTGCACTTTCATCACTGCTGGATACTGTCCATTTACCATGTGCGCTTTCCTGAAGCATGTTTCTATGGATTAGAAAACAAAACACTGAACAAAAATAGTGCATTTTTGCTATGCTCAAGTCCGTTTCCCTTCCTGGCTCCCATTTGTTCATTATTAAGGAAGCGTGCTTCTATATTTAGCAGAACCTCCGTGCTCTGGAAAATTTCGTAGTGTACAAGGCTTACTTGTTTCTGTTCCCAGGAAACAAAGAAGCACGTGCAATGGGAGCAACCATGAAACGGGACGCACCTAACGTGAAAAGTCTGCACACGGAAGGCGGGCTGGCATAGGGGAACCTACGGGAAAGCACTCCATAAGTCAGAGCAGTGATTTGCACGATGCGGGCATTTCTCATACCAAACCTAAGGCTGAGCCATCCCGCCCGCTCTGCTGGGAAGACACGGGGCCGGGCCGGGGCCGCCCTTTCCGGCTGCCTCCGCGGGAAAACATCTCGGGAGCGGAGCCCGGGACAGCGGCCTCCCTCCGCCACCCCCATGCCCCGGGCGGCACCACCCGGCCCCAGCCGCCCCCACCGCCCAGGGCCGTGCGGCCGCGGCTCCCGCCGCCGCTCCCCGGGCACGGCAGCGCCCGCGGCCGCCGCCGCCGGCTGAGGGGACGCGCGGGGCACGGCGCCAAAGGGCCCCGTCGGCCCCTCCCGGCTCATCGCCTGCCCTGCCCGCCGCGCTCCGCCGGCACCGCCACTCACCGCCCGCCCGGCGCCCCGGCAGCGCCCGCAGCCCGCGATGGGGAGCGAGAGCAGGCCCCGGCCCGCCTTCCCCGCGCAGCCCCGCCCCGCCTCCGGGCCGGTGGCGCACGGGAGCTGGGGGCGGTCGGGCTGCGCCAAGAGGCTACAGCGGCAGAGCAGGCGCGTCTCAGTGACCTGGATTAATCTAATGAGACTTTATTTGGCTTAAATATTAGCTCAGGGCAGGTGCAGTATTTGCATAATGGTTCATTCAGCGCGGTGTTAATCAGTGTGTCTGAAGTGCCCCGCTAATGAGACAACTGCGCGAGGAGTTCGGGAGGGAGCAGGTGTGACATTAATCAGAGGAGCGCGGTCTGCATCAAAGCGCGCTCGGGCTGCCGGAGCGAGCTGTGTGAGCGTTTGGTTCGCGTTACCCTAATTTATTGTAAGCTTGTGACTGCAGTTAACAAATTATGTAAGTGCCAGCAGTAAAATCGCCAAGATACACTGAGAAAAGCGTTCAGTGAAATTTCAACTGCTCTGTGTAATTTTCTTGGTGCTTTTCTGCAGAGTTGTTAGTAATAGTTTTTCCTGAAACCCTCCGAGGATGTACTCTTCACTACTGTAAGATTAAATTCTGTATTATGAACCCTTGCTGAAGGTCTTCTGGGGGAAAATCTCTTAGGAGAGTTGCATGTTTTTGTATGTAATGTGCATAGTCTCTAAATATAGACTCTGGAAACAGTATTTGTTTTCTAGAAGTACTTAAGAAGGCTGGATGGCTTCTGACTCTGCTGGCACTCCACTCTCTCTTCATAGTTCCTGTCTACATAGTGCTGAGAATTAAAGCTACCTGGCATTTTTTAAGAAACAGTTTAAGAGCTTGCAGAGACAAATTTAATGTAATTTGTTTTCTAGGAGTCTGTACTATGCATTCTAAGTTTGCAAAAAGCCTTTTTATTGTAAGCGTGTAAAACATAGAAGTAGGATAAACTTTATTTTAACTTTAAAATTGAATGGACTCGGTCCATTTTCAGCTACTGGAACAGAGTAGATAAATAGAGTTCTGACAGAGATGTGACTAACCTTTAATAATTTATTTATAGCATAATTAATTCAGCAGGTGCGTATTTTATTTTTCCTATAACAATTACCCAAAGTAAAAAAATATTAGTTTAACTTTATTGTTTTTAAAGCAAATCACTTTCTTTTTTTAGCTTTTTAAAGCATGTGAGGAAGATAGCAAAGGCTATTTAAGCAGAGAAGACGTTAAAGTCGCTCTAGTAATGTTTTTTTGTTAGAAACCCTCAAAGGTATTTACTTTTTCATCTATGTTCTGAAGATCCAGATGTCTCACAGAATACTTACAGATTCTAAAGTAATTTTCTTATCTGCAGATATTTATTTCAGAAGAAAATAATCAAACCCCTACTTCTCCTGCTGCAGAGGGTGGTGAGGAGAAGGATGTACTGTATTTCATATGTGTACAAAATATATTAAATAAATGACTCACTGAGCTTGTTGTTGATCGATTTTTGGTTTTTAATAGTGGTACACTCCATTTCTTTACTCAGTAGTTTCAGTCGATGTGAAACTGACACATGTTCTAATAATAATTATGTATTCTCAATAATATATCTGGCTTAAGTTTCAAGTAACAGTTGGGCATTTTTTGTCTTGACTTCTCAAATGTAAACCTACAGCTCTACAAAAATGTTAACAAGAAAAAGGTTAATTGAGAGAAATAATGTGTTTACGTACAGGAAAATATTGGATAAATTGTATGGCTTGATGTAGTTTTGGAAGTTATGTTTCTACTCAAGTGAATGGAAAAAGAGTATGAAGAACACACATGCAAGATTTCAGAATAAATACATTATGATTGTGAGTTTATCTTTCTGATGGCATGTCAATACAAACTTGACTGTAAAGTATATTATATGGATAAAGTATGTATAAAGTAGAAATGATCATTCATGTTTCTTTTCCAGCTTGAGAATCTTCTTCACCAAGGACCACTTGGGACTTATTATTATTTTTTTTTTACCTAAATACATATTTTACCAAAATTGTCTTAACAAAGTCATAAACAAAATTACATCTATGATAATTTAAAGTAAAACTCACAGAAATATTTTAATGAACTTTAATGAACTTGATACATTTCAGCTGTGGGTAAACATTTTCTCAATAAACTATGGCCAGATCTAAAAATGATAAAGACTTCTGACATGAGTCTTAACTGCTGAATTACGAATCTGAAAACACTCAGCTTCCCATTATCTGTCTTCTCCTACTTATTTTTACCTTCATCTAAAAATTAACTGTTCTGTCAAATTCCCTAGATGTTTCTCCTAGCAGGAGTGCTCAAAACATGCTTAAGGCATTTAAACAGGAGCAGATTCTGTGCATAACTCACTTATGGCACCTCTTTGGAAAGAGAGTAGAAGTAGAGGACTCCTGGGGAAAAAGGAGTTGCAGGTTTAGTTATTTCTTCCTGAAAAAGTGCCAAGTCACACCTGCTGTGGCTCTAGGCACTGCCGTGACCACCTGGCTGTTAGACCATTTTGTCGTGCAGCTGCACAAAAATTAATTAAATGTTTGTCCTAGGACTGATTCTGTCATCTCATGGTTTTGCTGGCTCCTTATGTGGGCCCAATTCCAGCAACTGTTGCTCTTTACCCAATGACTGCTCATTGTGAAGATCCCTAAAAGATCTCTGGGGAGGCAGATACTTTTTTTTGTGGCTTTTGCTAACATGCATTAGCTATGGTTTATGGCACGGCCACAGGTTTTGCTTTTACTGGAGGTTAGGCCCTGTATATATTCCTTTCAACATTTGTGTGCTTTTTAATCTAGTTCTGAGAAACACAACCCTCTCTGCAACAGAGAGGAACCAAATACAGATTTTGCAATCCTAAAAGTTGATTGTTAGGATCCAGTTCTTGAGCATGTTGTTGTGCATATTACTACATTGTCAAAATTATTAAAATCTTGGATTGTATTAACGTCCCTTTTAATTTTTTTGGAAGCTACTAAGAACAGCCCTGGAAAGAAGGGTCCTTTCAATTGCTTTTGCAAGAAATAGAGAATAGTGTGCACACATTGCTTCTTAAGGTGGAACTATTTCCTCAGTTATGCTCCGTACTAACATAATTTTTTCAGTAGAAACGGCAGTAACTTAGCATCATCAACTGCAATAAAGCAACTGAACTGTTAGTAAATTGTTGCTACATGGTTTTTTTGGTCATATTTGTATTTATTCCGTAAACTAAAAGTAATACTAACTTTACCCACTAGATGTCATGAATGAACTCTTTACTGGAAAACATTGGCCCTAAGAATTTGAATCCCATTCCTACTCCACTTAATTTTTCAAAATAATTTCGTTAAAACAATGCTGTATGATTTATAAAATATTACTTTAGTGTGGTTATTCATAGAGATTTTGAACTTTACTGAATGTTACTGTTTAAAATTAAGGCTTCTGAAGCAAATAACTGGGAAAGAATGAAAACAGAGGTTAACCTGATTGTTGGACTGATACTGTATGTATATTTGATGTAGTTGTTAGCATATAATTACAATTTCTGGGAACTTTCAACATTGTGGGAATCAAGTCTGTGGAACTTTTTTTTTCCCTCTGACAGTTTGATTCAGTGATCCTCTTTTCCCCCAAATTATTTGAAATGATCTAAAATACTCTCATGTTTCAGCAGCCATTCAGCTAACTAACTGCACATTCAGGTGTTGTGTTTCAAATGAAACAGGGACTGCAGGAACAGTTGTCATGAAAATATGTCATTTCCCCAGCTGAAGTTTCATTTCCCATACTGTTACATTTAGATCTAACTAAAAGCATTCTCTACCCTGTGCCTAGGAGGTCAGGCCCCTGGTGTCCAGTGTTTTTCTTGACCCAACTCTGTACCTTCACATGAGGTGCAGAGGTACAATATGAGGCACCTGCTGATGAAGAAAGTGCCAAAAGAAGTGCTCCTTGACATACAGAGTACAGAGGGCAGTCTGAACTCAAGGCTGCCTACAACTTCCAGCTGCTCTCCTGGCACATCTTACCAAAGCTTTCTAAACAGGGCTCCCTAGTCTATTTATACACCTGACATGGTCATGGGAAAAGTGTTGCAGGCCAAGTGGAACATGTAGCCTTAGGTTAACTGGTCATGGCGTTTTTGGCTTGTGCATTCTCCAGGGTGGAGTACACTTACGTTGCACTAGAAGCTGCTCAAATGTGGCCTCCTCTCATGTGAGTTGTCCCAGTTCTGAAACTATGTGCAGTCCTGAATTCTGATAATGCAAGTGCAAGAGTTTAGACTCATGAGCACTCAGTCATGTCAAAAAAAACTATGTAAATATAGCTCAAAGTTGACCTCTGTGCTTTCTTGGCTATGCACTCCCTTTCTGTCCCTTACATTGTTCAAAGATGTTTTACAGGGATCTCTTGGTCACCATTTAATTCAGTTCTGAAAAGTCAATTTTTAAAAAATTTGCTCTTATCATGTAATTTAGCTTATTACATTTCTACTATTAATGAATCTTGGTAACACAGTAATATTAGTATTAATGAATCTTGGAAATGCACTAATCAACACGTAAGTGTCACTCTAGGTATGCCTATGAGGTAAAGTTGTGAGGTAAGAACCTATTGAAAGATAATAAAGGAAATACAGAGGACGTAGAATGAAATTGGTTTGAGAATAGCTGTAGAAGCATAAATGATGCAAATATGTTTTTTTAGTTTCTTTGTCATTTTTTATTCTCTATCTTTTTGTTGAAGTTTTTATTTTAGACAGATTTACCAAATTAATTTTGATCCAACATGGCTTCAGTAAAAAGCTGGCCTCCAATCTGAATACTGAAGCAGAAATTTTGTTTAAAGGAAATAACAAATTTGGGGGCTGATGCTTTATGTATAGGGAACTCCAGTCTGTCTAAAGTTAAGTGCGTTTGTTTAAGCATACTGAGTTTAAGATTTGGGTATTGATTTGGACTCTATTAGGACTACATATATACTTAATTTACTGAACTAAATAGAGATGGTTTTATTTTAATTAGAATAAAGTATTTTATTACTTAAATGCCATAGATACTACTGTTGTGTAATATATGTGAATCAAGAAGCTGGTGTGTAGGATCTGGAGAATAAGTCCTATGAGGAGTGGCTGAGGGGACTGGGGTGTTTAGCCTGGAGGAAAGGAGGCTCAGGGGAGACGTTATTGCTCTCAACAACTACCTGGAAGGAGTTTGTAATGAGGTGGGGGTCGGTCTCTTCTCCCAAATAACAAGTGATAGACCAAGAGGAAATGGCCTCAAGTTGTGCCAGGGGATTTTCAGATTTAACAACTTCAAAACCCCGGCAGATATTCAGAAAAATTTCTTCACTGAAAGGGCTGTCAAGCATTGGAACAGGCTGCCCATGGAAGTGGTGGAGTCAGCATCCCTGGAGGCACTTAACAGACCTGTAGATGTGGTACTTAGGAACATGGTTTAGTGGTGCACATGACAGTGCTGAGTTAATGGTTGGACTAAACGATCTTGAGGATCTTTTCCAACTAAAGCGATACTGTGATTCTATAAGTGAGCTGACCATGGCTATGAAATAGATTTAATTTAGGTTTGTAGTATCTTTGGTGCTTGTGTGTTACATTTAGCTTGAACTTATTCTTGCCACTCAAAGTGACATTTCTTAAAAGCAAGATTATATTGATTAATGAGAGAGAAATGTAGTTAGTAATTTTTAGTGTTCAACTTGATAAGTAATGAAAGTTTCTATCAGTTTTTTTTTATACTGATCCACTATTACCTTGAAAAAATACTGCAGTCTTACACCACAGTTCAATAAATATCTCTTTCTGAAACAAGCTTCCCATTTATATAGTTCTGCTTGTTTTTTGTTGTCCTTGACCTTACCAATTGCACCTAAACTTCTGTATGTGGGGTCATGTGGCAAGTCTTACTGGAGAAATGATTCATATAAAAAGTGAAGTGGCAAAAAACTGTTGTTGTTTTTATCAGTAAGTTCCCTCTTCCCTTTTGCCACATGGCTCTACAAGTATTTGTATCAATATATTGGAAAGGCATTGTGGAGGCTGGTTCTGTTTATTCTGACGTTGATGCCAAAACCCGTGCTCATTAAACCACACCCGTACTTGTAAGTCTTTAATTTAGGCAACAAATACAAAATAAAGATTTTACTCAGGGTTTTTTTTTTCAACAGAAATACCATGTGAATGCGGTATTTGGTGTGAACCAAAAATAGTGAACTAAGATATAAAGACAGATTAATACCTAATTGGCTTTAACAGTTTTTAAGATGACATTTTGTTTGTTGACATAACTTTACATCCTGTTCTAGCTGCACATGAGTTTCCAACCCTCAAGATCAATGAATAGGCGGTACTCTATTATAGGAGTCATTCTATAGAAGGAAAATTG